GATACCGCGTCAAAGGGCAGGACGTGAATTCGACTTGTCAAATTTACAAGAATTATGGCTGCAAGTGTACAAAACGTTTTCCGAGGGGACCTGCACGTGCAATCGACTCGAAGCATCCCTACTCTCTCGTGCACGCCTCATCTGCAATGACATAGTCAAGAAATACATCGCCCAAAGTGAGACAACAACAACTTCGATGCGACCAACGCGCACACCGCTGGTAAATCTGCCGACGCGTTACGCGAGTCTTGACTGAGGTCACCTGAGTTTTAAATCAATCGACCTTCCCAAAATACTGCATGAAAATCCGAGGAGCCCTCAACCATCCGTGAGACTGAGATGCAATGACCTTTAGATGTACTTGTCACTTGCGAAATCCATCAAACTTGGGTCGTTTTTAGTTGACTGTGTTAGAACGACCAGTAGTAGTTTTCGGCGTAGATAAAGGCACCGCAGAGGTACCCTCCAGGGAGAAGACCTCCAACAAAGGTAGGATGGTCGTGGTCGACGGCAACCCAGTGAACGTCTTGAACTCCCATTTCACTCAGCAGTTGCGTCAACGGCTTCCACAAGAGCTGGCACTGACGCTCTTCGCAGCAGTCTTCGTCTTCACAAATCTCACATCCCCACGTACCATCGTCGTGTTGGTAGATGCGATCCCAATGCTCATCCGCGACGTCATCGATGCCAACCCCAATACAATCCTTCAGGGGCATCGAGTTCACAGCGTCGTCGTCGTCGTTCGCTTCTACGTTTGGACGCAGCAATTCTTGGAGCTCATACGCCGTCCACTTGGTTTCGTTGTTGAATCGGTCGGAATGCACAAGAAGAGGAAAGATCCGCCACCCCCAGAACTCGTCGAGGGCCTCGCCAATCGCACAAAGGCTCTCAATTCGCGCCAGTTTCTCTAACGCATCTTCCAGCAATTGCCAGTCGCGGACGCTGGATTCGGCAGCACGCTTCAACGTGTCGTCGTCCACAAGCTGCGCCGTCACCGCGTCGTACTTGAGTTGGAAGCTGTCGCCGTTGTAGATGAAGCCGCTCTGGGTCAGGCGGCCAGCAAAGCCGTCGCGAAACGGACAAGAGCGGCCGGATGGGACGGTCAACTCACTTTGAGGATCCCTCGGTGGGCCAAAATACGATGCAGGAGCCCTCTTCAAGGCAGCAGGAAACCGAGATAGGCAGTGGGCTTTGGCTTGGTCGTTCATGTTGGAGGGTCGCTCGAACGTGAATGCGATCAAATTGGCAAATGGGTTTGATGCACATCCGGACAAAAATGGTCATCTTGAGGTACTAAAACCTCGTGTTTTGTTAGCGTGAATTCGGTACAATCTTTCTCATTTTGCGCAGTGTTCTCAACGTTTCATTGGGCAAAATTTATTGTTCCCGCTCGTCTGCACCCCTGCCATGAATGATAGCCAGTCAAAAGTAAGTGGTGGTGAATGGGGAATAGTCCCGGCGAGATTTGGTTGGAGGGGCCAGGAACGAGCGCTGTCATGGTCGTGGGAAAACGAAGCCACTAGCGTAAGCTTTACGATCAGCACCTTGAAGTGTGCTGCTATGATGAGAGCACAACCTCATGCTCGTTAGATGGCCTGCATGGGCGAATTCCCTGATTGAGTAGGTGGCACACCATTCATTGGGGAAGCTCCAGCCACCATACAGTTAATCGGGGAATCGTGCTATTGAGGCCCTGATTAGGTGGGTGCGACATATTCGTAGCGACAACAAGTCCACCAGAGGAGGCCCATCCGCCTGGTTTGCGTCGTTCCCGGCCTCTGGTGCTTCCAAACACTAGTTACCATGGTAGAGCATTCTTGATGCACCTCATCTCTGTGCGGTCGAACGGACTGGTTCGCTTTGCTCCTATGCCCAGTTAAGCCACCTCACCTTGTACGAGTACGTATGTACCTTCGGCGCAGCATTGACTGTAGAATGCAATTCTAGATCGTGCTTTGTTAACCTAGCAAGGGAACCATCAAGAATACTTGTTCTTGGATTGTGGAGAGTAGCGGTGTGTCTAATTGATGAAGACAACAAATCATTCACTACTCTTCGTTGTTGTCGTTTCGAACTATGTACGTTTATTGCGTGCACTACGTGCACACAGCTAGGAAAATGGCAGTCACGGTTAGGACAACTAATCTGATAAGTTTTGAGCTCATATCGTTGAATTGAGCTCATGCATACGATGGACGCCGAATACAGTGATAGGTGGGCTTGCCCGGGGATATGCTTTGGGTGCACTTGCAATTGACGGCGGACCTGTCGTTCACACGTAATCGTGCCTCTTTTCCACCGATCGTCCGCAGAGGCCGCCCATTAATCCTTTTGCTACATCACGATGAAGTTCCCCGTTGTCGTGTTGGTCGCGTTCTTGGTGTCCCTGGCAACTGCGAACAAGTTCACCTACTACGTGTTTGCCCGAACTTGGTTGCCTGGTCAATGCCGCAACAGGAATACCCACGGCTGCGCCCCGGCAGTACTCGCGAACCACAAGACGAAGTTGACCATCCACGGCCTGTGGCCCAACGGAATCGAATCCTGCCCCACCCAGCATAGGTCCACCCTCACGGCAGACGATATCACCAGAGCTGGAGGAGCGGCGACGATCTCTGCGGCCATGCCAGGAGCCTCCAAGGCTGACATGGCGTTTTGGACCCACGAGTGGACAAAGCACGGCACTTGCAGCAACATGCCGGCGGCCAAGTATTTCAAGCAAATGTTGCACCTTCGCAACCACTTGAAGACGCCCGCAATCTTGAACTCGTCCGCTGGCCCAGTCACAGTCACTCGTACGGCTCTTGCAGCGGCGTTTGGAGGAAACGCCGTGTTGATT